TGAGCCATGCTGATTTTTATGAAAAAGTTACCATTAGTTTTGTCAAATATATGAGTACCCTTATAATTCCGGATTTAATATTTAAAGTGTGCGCAAACATCTTAAAGATTGTTGATTATCCTTTTCTCATTTTTAATTTAAAAGTAATAATCCGTAAAATAGAAAAAAATTTGGTAATATAGGTTATAGGTATTACTGATATTATGTTGATTGGTGCTATTTTTATAAGTACTATAAGTACTAATACACAGGGTTATTCATTATTCCCTCCAGCTTACCGAGTGGGTCTAACCCATGATTCGTCTACCTCTGAGGATATTTTACGTGAGCACTGTGGCCGGCGCAAGCCGGATTTGGAATTAGCATCGATCAGCCATCGTTGGGTTTCAAACCCGGTTCACCTCATTGGAAAGCGGACGCTCTATCCTCTGAGCCATCACGGCTCCTGCTAAACATAGTATTTTTTTTAACTCAATCCAGAAGACAAGGGAACTCCTGGATCAAGTATTGGGAGAAATTTTGCCTTCGTGGAGGACTTTTTGATGGAACTAACCCGCATTTGCGTTAAATGGAGAGGAAGAACACGAGAACCTTCCAAGGTTAGCCTGACAAGAAAGGGACTCTAACCCATGATCCGTCTACCACTGAGGATATTTCGCGTCAGCACTGTGGTCGGTGCAAGCCGGATGCGGATTCGTATCGACCAGCCTTTGGTGGGATTGGAACCCGGTTCACCTCATTGGAAAGCAGACGCTCTATCCCCTGAGCCATCATGGCTCCTGCTAAACATAATATTGAAAAATATGCTTGTTAAATGTATCAGTAAAAGCATTTAGTTTCTTAAATCCAAATGTAACGCCGAACGAGACTTAAAATTAATGTTCTCGAAATTAATCATTTCTTTTTTTTAAAAAAATAAATAAATAAATATTGAGTTGCGGTGGCACAGGGGATAGAACGCTCGCCTTCCAACGACTTGAACCCCTAAGCTGGCTGATCGATACGAATCCCGACTCGCACCGACCTCAATGCTGACATATCCTCTGTGGTAAACGGATCATGGGTTGAAATCCCCTTGTCGTTGGACTAACGTCGGGAGGTTCTCGTGGCTGACCTCTCCATTTAACGCAATAAGTTCTATTTAAAAGTCCTCCATAAAGACTTGTTTCTTCCAAAGTTTGATCTAGGAGTTCCTTCGTCTTCTGGATTGGGCTTAAAATTACAAGGCTACAGAGTGGAACCTTGATAGTCGTAAACTCAGAATTGGGGCGGTTGTACAAAGCCGGTTGTAAAATAAAATAAAATATTATTTCTTTGAAAAATATATTTATAAGTTGTTATTTTTTTTAATTACATATTCTTAGGTTACTCATTTTATGTTTGACATTCTCTGTATGAAAGCATACTTAAGATGGAAAGAAAAGTGTGTTACAGAAAAACCACTTGTTTGACGTTGAATGGAAGGAGTTCTGCATTTTCCTGGAAAGATATCTTCTCCAGAAATTTATGGCTCAGGAAACCACTCGACAAACTAGGGTTGGAAGGCTTTAGTTTCACGCCAATATTCTTAAACGCTTCCCTTACTAATTTTTTGGGGGAAAAAATGCAAAAAATCAACCTATTTTTTATTTCATTAACAAATACAAGGAACTAAAACAAAACATAATACACAAGTTCTAAGTAGAAATTTAAAATTTTTTATGTGCAAAAAATATTTAATTTACCACCAGTTTACTATCCCAATTTATCTTGGGCAAATGAAAAAAAGTCAACTGTTAGTCATTGTATATGTTCTTGTATTAGTTCTTAGATTATTAAATATTAGTCTTTGTAATCTGAAAACTCATCTGCATTACTTTCACTTTCGCTCTCGAACGCCATTTTTTTACTCTTTCTCTGTGTAAATTAATCAACCATCGTATATACAATTGGGTATAATATAGCCTACGTCACAGGTTGTGTTGTTCCTACTAAATTTAACCCATGAACGGCATTTTCTGCGAGCCTAACTTCAAGCCACAAATAAACAAACGAAGTGTTCGATCGTTTAAATAGCTG